GGGTCTTCTCCAGTGAGTGCTCCCTTCTCATTTGGTGGCCAAAGTATTTGAGCTTCAGTTTCATTATCTGGCCTTCCAGGGAACAGTCAGGGTTGATTTCTTTGAGGATTGACTGATTTGTTCTTCTTGCAGTCCAAGGGACTCTCAAGAGTCTTCTCCAGCACCATAGTTCAAAAGCAGCATTTTCATTCAGCAGATCAATAACCAGCTAGTTATTCAATGTTACTTCCCTATAAGGCTTTCTTCCCAATAGAATAATGCATCTCTTCATATTTGTTCATGTCAATGGATCAAGAAAAAAAGGTCTCGATGTCTCTACTTTTTAAGAACATAAGAACATAAGAGACGCCAATGTTGGATCAGGCCAAAGGCCCATCCAGTCCAACACTCTGTGTCACACAGTGGCCAGAAATACCAGTGCCATCAGGAGGTCCAGCAGTGGGGCCAGGACATTAGAAGCCCTCCCACTGTTGACCCCCCCAAGCACCAAGAAGACAGAGCATCACTTGCCCCAGAGCCCCTAGCTATACCTTGTGGCTAATAGCCACTGATGGACCTCTGCTCCATATGCTTATCTAATTCCCTTTTGAAGCCGTCCATGCTTGTAGCACCCACCACTTCCTGTGGCAGTGAATTCCATGTGTTAATCACTCTTTGGGTGAAGAAGTACTTCCTTTTATCCGTTCTAACCCGACCGCTCTGCAGTTTCATGGAGTGCCCACGAGTTCTTGTATTGTGAGAAAGGGAGAAAAGTACCTCTTTCTTTACCTGCTCTTTCCCATGCATAATCTTATAAACCTCGATCATGTCACCCCTCAGTCGTCTTTTCTCCAAGCTAAAGAGCCCTAAGCGCTTTAACCTTTCCTCATAGGGAAAGTGTTCCAACCCTTTTATCATTCGAGTTGCCCTTTTCTGCACTTTTTCCAAAGCTATAATATCCTTTTTAAGGTGTGGTGCCCAGAACTGCACACAGTATTCCAAATGAGGTCTCACCATTGATTTATATAGGGGCATTATTATATTGGCTGATCTGTTTTCAATACCCTTCCTAATAATCCCCAGCATAGCATTGGCCTTCTTTATTGCAGTCACACACTGTCTCGACATTTTCAGTGAGTTATCCACTACAACTCCAAGATCTCTCTCTTGCTCAGTCTCTGCCAGTTCAGACCCCATCAATGTGTATTTATATTTAGGATTTTTGGCTCCAATGTGCATCACCTTGCACTTGGCCACATTGAACCCCATTTGCCATGTTGACGCCCACTTGCCCATCTTTGACAGATCCCTTTGGAGTGCCTCACAATCCTCACTGGTTTTCACCACCTTGAACAACTTTGTATCATCCGCAAATTTAGCCACTTCACTGCTTACTCCCATCTCCAAATCATTAATGAACAAGTTAAAAAGCAGTGGACCAAGTACTGATCCCTGTGGTACCCCACTGCTTACCACCCTCCACTGAGAAAATTGCCCACCTACACTCACTCTCTGTTTTCTATGAACTAGCCAGTTTTTGATCCATAAAAGGACTTGTCCTTTTATCCCATGATTTTTGAGCTTGCTTAGGAGCCTTTGATGAGGAACTTTATCAAAAGCTTTCTGGAAGTCAAGGTAAATAATATCTATTGGATCCCCCTTGTCCACATGTTTGTTCACCCCCTCAAAGAACACTAATAGGTTAGTGAGACAAGATCTTCCCTTACAGAACCCATGTTGAGTCTGCCTCAATAGGTTTTGTTCATCTATGTGCCTACTAATTCTTTCCTTAATAATGGTTTCCACCAATTTACCCGGTATCGACGTCAGACTGACTGGCCTGTAATTTCCCGGATCTCCTCTGGAACCCTTTTTAAAGATGGGAGTGACATTAGCTACCTTCCAATCCTCAGGAATGGAGGCAGATTTTAAGGAAAAATCATGCTGTTTAGGTTCGCCATCGCTTTCCTCCCAAGGAGCAGGTGTCTTTTAATTTCATGACTGCTGTCACAGTATGCGGTGATCTGGGATCCCAGGAACGTGAAGTCTGTCACTACTTCCACGACTTCCCCTTCTATTTGCCAAGGAGTGATGGGGCCGGATGCCATGATCTTAGTTTTTTTGATGTTGAGCTTCAAGCCCACTTTTGCGCTCTCCTCTTTTACTCTGAGCAAGAGGTTCTTGAGGTCCTCTTCACTTTCTGCCATCAGAGTGGTATTGTCTGCATATCTGAGGTTGTTGATCTTTTCCCCAGCAATCTTAATTCCCGCTTGTACTTTAAAGCACTTTAAAGTATGAATTGTCTATTGTTTGTTGTTTTAACTTGTTTTTAAGTGTTTTATTGTGATTTGGCACATGGTGACAATAAATGTAAGCCACCCTGAGCCCGTCTGTGGGGAGGGCGGGATATAAATACAATAATAAATAAATAAATAGTATGCCAATCCTTAAAATGACTAAAGCCATCTGAAAGAAGCACTACTACTACTTGGCATCGATACAGTGCTTTCCAAACATTCAAAACACTTCATAGTCATCTTTGTAATTCTTGCAATAGGTCTGGAAGGTAGACCAATATATTTTAATTATTTTAATTCTTTATTAATAGGAAATTTTTACAAAATTTATCTCATCACAGTGTAATATAAAAGCTATAACAAAAAATAAACTAAATAAACCAAGAGAAGAGAAAAAAATTTCAACACAGGACCTAACGGGGCTTTATCCAACAAACTGGTATCTGCAATTGGATCCATCTTGAATTATTTCTTCAATGTGAATCTTATAGAGAAATAATTTATGAAAAAATTGACTAACTCAGTCTTAATACACTGAAATAATTCATAAATTTTAAATTTTAAAAAGTTCCAAAATGTAGTTTTGACACAAAAATAATGCAAAACCAGAACAGTTATTGGAGATACAATTATACAAAAATTTCTGCAATAAAATACTAACCTCTCATCTTGAAAACAATGGACCAAAGTTCTCAGAATTACTAGTATTAGATTGTGTCAAACACAGGAAATTTTACTAAGGATCGTGTGAACCTGAGTTCATATTCCAAGGTCCAGCGGAAGAGATCTTCTGAATAAGACTATCATTCTCACTTCAAGAAGGTAGGCCGGTAATGTTGCAGAGACAGGGCAGGCATACCAGAGTCTGAGAAAGCAGCCTGCCTATGCCTACCTAGTGAAAATATGGCACAGGCAAGACTTGACTTTGCAATTCACCACTCAGTCTCTCATCTGCCATGCTCACACTAGACTTCAAGATAGTGAGATATACAAGTAGTCAGGTATAGATCTTGTTCTAATTAAAGGAATAGGGGTCAGGTCTTTACAACAAATGTCTCCCAGTCCATGCAGAATGGTAATTACATTTTTAACATTATACTCTTAATTCTTGGCAATCCACTGGATTAATGTCCAGAATTCTTAATGAATTTCATAAAGATTAATTTAAAATGTATGTTTTGCTGAAAAGTAAATGTAAAACGATGAATAAAAATCATTCTATGTTCTGAACATTCACATATTTATGAAGGTCCACTGCTTTTTAACTTGTTCATTAATGATTTGGAGTTGGGAGTAAGCAGTGAAGTGGCTAAATTTGCGGATGATACGAAGTTGTTCAGGGTGGTGAAAACCAATGAGGATTGTGAGGCACTCCAAGGGGATCTGTCAAAGATGGGCAAGTGGGCGTCAACATGGCAAATGGGGTTCAATGTGGCCAAGTGCAAGGTGATGCACATTGGAGCCAAAAATCCTAAATATAAATACACATTGATGGGGTCTGAACTGGCAGAGACTGATCAAGAGAGAGATCTTGGAGTTGTAGTAGATAACTCACTGAAAATGTCGAGACAGTGTGTGACTGCAATAAAGAAGGCCAATGCTATGCTGGGGATTATTAGGAAGGGTATTGTAAACAGATCAGCCAATATCATAATGCCCCTATATAAATCAATGGTGCGACCTCATCTGGAATACTGTGTGCAATTCTGGTCACCACACCTTAAAAAGGATATTATAGCTTTGGAAAAAAGTGCAGAAAAGGGCAACTCGAATGATAAAAGGGTTGGAACACTTTCCCTATGAGGAAAGGTTAAGGCGCTTAGGGCTCTTTAGCTTGGAGAAACGACGACTGAGGGGTGACATGATTGAGGTTTATAAGATTATGCATGGGAAAGAGCAGGTAGAGAAAGAGATACTTTTCTCCCTTTCTCACAATACAAGAACTCGTGGGCACTCCATGAAATTGCTGAGCGGTCGAGTTAGATCGGATAAAAGGAAGTCCTTCTTCACCCAAAGAGTGATTAACACTTGGAATTCACTGCCACAGGAAGTGGTGGCGGCTACAAGCATGGACAGCTTCAAAAGGGAATTAGATAAGCATATGGAGCAGAGGTCCATCAGTGGCTATTAACCACAAGGTATAGATAGGGGCTCTGGGGCAAGTGATGCTCTGTCATCTTGGTGCTTGGGGGGGTCAACAGTGGGATGGCTTCTAATGTCCTGGCCCCACTGGTGGACCTCCTGATGGCACTGGTATTTCTGGCCACTGTGTGATACTGAGTGTTGGACTGGATGGGCCTTTGGCCTGATCCAACATTGGCATCTCTTATGTTCTTATGTTCTCTTATGTTCTTAACTATGAATTATAAGTAAATTACAATTAATTAATATCAAGTAAAACATAATAACTTCAGAAATAACAATGTTGTAAAAGCAAGAATCTGGCATCCAAATGGACAGTGCTGTTAATTATATTTTAATTTTATTATCAATCTTCATATAACCAGTTGGATCCAAAAGGTGCCTCTTCACTCCTCCCATTAATGGATCCAACCCAGCACATTTAAGGTAACAGAAAACAATAAGCTTACATATAAATCTGCAAATACATTCTCCGCCAAATGCAACTGTACTAATAGGTGTGCTGGCAAGAACACCACCAATCTGTGATAAGCAGAAGGGGTACTGAAGACAGGGGACAGCTTTGATTAATGTTGTACTCACGTCTGCATAATGGCCTCTCATTGCACAGCGGTTACAATGTTTACTCCAGTAAGTTCTCTCTATGCACTCTCTTGAGAAGTGTCCAGGCAAACAGCAATTTAAACAAAATCGTGCAGGGCAGTTGTTCTGTAGATGCCCCCTTTCTGCACACAGACAACATGGTGGAACTTTCTATGAAGAAACGTGGAGAGAAAAGAAAAACAGATATTTAAGGCGTATGTGGAACTCTTAAGTGAAACATTCACAGTGCAGCTACACTGAAGTCCACAATGCAACATCACAATGCAAGACCACTTCATATATTAGTAATGAACTTCTCCCTTTGTTGCAGAAAGCATGATGAAAGCAGCACAGAGAGCAAGGAGTACCCCAACCCAACATCTTGAAGATGGTTTCTGCAGCTCATACTTGAGTGGCTAGAGGAATTCTGATTTGCAAGAAGTCCATGAAAGTAATCTTTCCCCCCCGCTTATACAGAGGTTATATGAAAACTGTGTGATGGTGGCTGCAACTGAAAGCAGAAAGGCTCTTTCACAGATTGAGTTTTAGTAGCTCTCTGTAGATACAGGATTTGACAGCTATAGTGGCCATCACAGCTTGTAGTCCCGTATCACTCAACCATACAACAATGGGATGAAGGATCTTTAGGGCCACTTCATATATTAATTACAACAAGCTGCCTGTAGCGAGCTCTTGCACAAGCTTGGCTAATTACAGGATCCAATCCACTATAACAACAAAACACCGTGTGGGTCTGGATAGCCAACAACAAAGGACAGTTAAACCTTTTATAGTATACTAGTTTGTGATGGTAGATTCATTAGAATTTATGATTACTGTTTTGGGCAAGCTGTGTATTGTTTTACTGAGCTGATTTTTAAAGTCTGTGATTATATTCAGTGTTGCTGCTGTTTTTGTTCTGAAGTGTGGTCAAAACAAACAGAGATGCAAACAAACATAAAGATTTCTACACACTGGATTGAACTATAGCAGCAGGTACTGCATTTACAACCTTCAGAGAGATTAAAGAAGCTGAAGGTGCTGTCAATCCCAGCCAACCTGACCATGCTTCCCAGCATTTTCTGTTGAGCTTTCATAAAGCTCCACAGACAGTCACTACTACGTTCCTTGCCTAAGTCAGTGAAGCAAAGATAACAACCATTTATGGTGAAAACGTTTGCCTCACAGGCAGTATACTTTTAAAACTAGACTTCTGAGCCATCACAAAGATCCCAAAAAAGCAATACTGTCTAAAACTCAGAGTTATTTTGACCAGCTAAAGAACAAAAATGGAATGTGGGCTGGGGTGGCGGGGGATATCTCACAGTTTGAGATACTTTCCAGAGAAGCTCTTGAGGGAATTTGGAAAGAAAGCCCATGGGAAAGGGCAATAGTGGACCCTGCATGCATAAACAACAGGTCTCTAAGGATGGAGGCATCATTGCCTTCTAGATGAGTTAGCTTTCCAGTAGGTTCTGCTTTTAGGGTCTGTGCAGGCATTGAGAACTGTTAGCTCCAGAGTGAGATTTTACCTGCTAGCAATCATAAAGATGAAGAATGATCTAAACTAGGTTTATTTATTTTATTTAAAATAATTCTATCTAGCCAATCAGGGCCTCTGAGGCAGCTAGCAACTAGAAACAACTAGGCTGGGTCTGCCAACCCTGTGGTATTAACTACAACTAGTTATATAAACCATGTAGGCCAGTGTTCAGAGAGATGAACCTGCTCAGACAGCTTACCAGCAGCCAAAGACTGGAGGTCAAAGAGGAGGCAAAGATTTGTCAAGGACCTTTTCTTTATGTATTGGGCATCTCACTCATCTGACATGGAATGTGTATCTCAGGTCAGGGGTGGATTGGCCATTATAGCCACAAGGGAATTTTCTGATGGACTGTTGGCTCGCCTCCTCCTGACATGGGCTGTGCCCAGCATGGGGAAGGCAGTGCCCAGAAGAGCCATGCACATTGTGCAAAGGTCTATGACCAAGCCTAGCAGAGCTGAGGGAGGCACCCAGCCAAGCTGCAGGAAATGTGGGGCTGGCTAGCTGGCTCTTTCTCTTTACCATGTGGGGCGCCTGAGTGGGCAGGCCCTTGTCCTGGTCCTTGTACAGGGTGGGTGGGATTCTGATGGTGCATTAGCTACAGAAGTCGAACTGAATCCACACATGACACCAAACCAAGCTCATTCCAGGGTCTTGGGTTCATAACTCCCCTTTCTGTTGTTCACTCCTCCCTCACTTGCTTATTCATGCAAACCATGATTTGTCTACACATCTAAACTGAGAAAACCATAATTCTGCCTGTGAAACAGAACAGAAAATGTACTTTAAACAGTGGTTTGCAGTTCTGGTTCACAGCTGACTGATTCTAGAAGGTGGGGCTGGAGGACAACTGCTCAGCACTCTGGAACATAAAATACGGGGTCTGCGGAGCTCTATTCTGTCCCTAATGCTATGACACTGTTGGTGAAAATGGCATGTTGAATTTCTGCCTGGAGACATTTCTGAGCCCAGTGCAAGCTTAAAAACCAAGACAAAGTACAGGGCGCCCAATTTATAAGTAAATACGTACAGTTTATATGAGGTCTATGTTTACTTCCTAAATTCCCAATCCCAACCTTCATTCTGCTTAATGCAATTTTCACTACCTGGTGATATTGAGACTTCAGGGGTTCCCAGTGTTTGCAGGACTGGATTACCAGTTATATTTCTCCAGAGGGTTACAGATCCTGTTCGTTTCCTAAATAGCCCTCAGAAAATTTTCTGCAGGCATGGTGTGCCTGTGAATACAACAGGCAACTTCTCGAATACAGAAATAGCCAGGGCACTGGACACAAATGCATCAGAGTGTCCTCTCCCACTGAGCAGAACCCCAATAGTTGTGTGATATCAGCTTAGGGTGATAAAGCAACAGGGACAATATAGTTAGACTATAAATGGAGAATGACTTGGGGTGAGTGTGTTGATGATGGCTACAAACAGGCTACTTCTCCATCACCACTGAACAGTGCATGTCTGCAGAACCAATTCAAGTGACAAGGAGTCTCCCTTCTTGTAAGGGCCCAGAACAGTTTATCTAAACACTCAGTAGCCTGCTGCTACTGCCAAGCATTTTGCAGATAAAATTTCTCACAACTGCTGTGACCTGGATGCCATGCTGGAGGTCATACAGTTACAAAGGATTCTCACAGGACTTTGTTCCCATTATCACATAGATGAGTTTTAGTTACTGCGGCCCAAGGATTCTGCTATGTTGCATGTCACCAAGCTCCCTACTACCTGTAAGCTTATCCCTTTTCCACCATGGCCCAAAGAGAAGTAACTTGATAGTTCTGGGAGGCAGTGAATGAATCATTAAGAGACAAGGTGGTTGTGACTAACCTCTGACACAGAATGAAACAATGTAGGAGACAGCTACTGATGATCCTGAACCAAAGCTGTCCACCTGAATTGTCAAACTTTGGAGGAGTGCTTAGTCCATCACTACCCCCTCATAAACGTCTCAAGATACCCCTCCAGAAAAATTAATTCTAACCCGGTCTTAAAGCCTGTAAATGGCAAACAACAATAACAAATGATTCTCTTTGTAAACAAATCCAAGTATTGTATTTACCTTTGGAGTCGGACAATTTTTTGATAAGTGACCTCTTTTATCGCAATTTCTGCAAGTGACATTTTTGTCTGGCATGTAGTATCTGTTGTTACGACGCACAGTGACATAGTTACCAATCTGTGCCTAAAGAAACAGAATGAAATTATTAGATGAAAACTCCTGTACTTATTCAAGACCACAGAAACTACCTTGGGGAGGGGCATTTTAAATTTTTTGCTTTTAGTATATATACATGAAATTAAGCAAACTCCGGAGCACAACGGAAGACAGGAGGGCCTGGCATGATGTGGTCCATGGGGTCGCGAAGAGTTGGACTCAACTGTACGACTGAACAACAACAACAACAAAAATAGTCATTCTTGCTCTAGACTCATCATAACCAATTATAGTTTGCTCTATCATAGGAAGTCTTCAATAGGCATGGACACAGGGAGAAAAGTTAGCGTGAGAGATTGAGGACATCCTAGCTTATTCAGTTCGCAATTTATGAGTTGTTCGTGATGTCTGGATGATGCCTTGATCAACATTATTCCACAACAATAATTTACAAAATATTATCAAACTTTTTGCAAAAATAATTCCAGAGAATAAGCTCATAAGGGTAATATCTGCTGAAGTACTTCAGTATTGGAGTACATAAAGAATCACGAAAAAATCTTCACTAACAAGAAAATCCTTGATCTTACTCATGGACATCTGAACATGACTGGAAATCGAGAGTTTAAATCAGAGCATTCTCTCAAAACGTTTCTCAGACCAATTGCAATACAATTTTGCAATGGGTTGTGGTGGTTGTTCCTTATTTATTTGGCTAGTCAATGGCAGTAATGGGCATTCACTGTCTTTCTAATACAGAAGACTACAGTTGATAGCGACCATGTTATTCAATTAGAGGAACACATACTGTGCCAGCTATTTGTGGATAGAGCTAAAGGTCAAGTAAATGTGTGCACAGATGTAAAAGGCTGCTGGTGAGTGAGCTGATACACAAGAGAAAGTCAGAGTCAGAAAGCTACAGACCTAAAACTGAAATACAAGAAACATAAGGAAGGAAAACAGAAAACCATCTCTGGAAAGGCAGTGAATAACAGAAGCTCAACTGAAAATGTGATTATAAACTTCTAGTTTGACTTTTTTCCTCTTCATAAAATCCTAAATAGCTGCCAATATTTATGACGTCTGAATGCTTAGTGGTGACCTGGCCACAGGCCCGTAGCTAACAACTTTTTGCTCAGGGGGCCCGTTTTTTTCTCAGGGGGCCCACTACCAATGTTCCCTCTAAGCTGTGGAGTTTTGTGAGCAAAACTTCTACTTTGTGAGCTACTGCCATTAAAGCTGTGAGTGAGCAATTTGGCTACAGCATAAATTCGTTTGCTCTGGAGCCCTCCTTCCTGAGCCAAGACAAAAAGGTGTGAGCTAGAAGCTAAAAAACTGAGCTAGCTCACACTAACTCAGCTTAGAGGGAACCCTGGTGGCAACCACTGTTCCCTCTAAGCTGAGTTAGTGTGAGCTAGCTCACAGTTTTTTAGCCTCCAGCTCACACATTTTTGCCTCAGCTCAGGAAGGATGGCTCCAGGGCAAACTAATTGATGTTGTAGCCAAATGCTCGCTCACAACTTTAATGCCAGTAGCTCACAAAGTAGCTCACAAGACTCCACAGCTTAAAGGGAACATTGGTGGCAACTATACGCAAAGAGACAACATGGGAAGAAAAACCTGCAGAAGTTCGGAATAGATGGAAGACCTACTTGGAATGAATATCAAAGGAAGGAAGAAAAGACATTCAGTGGAAGATTCAAACTTTGTGCCCATGACTGGGGTCAAAAGACTAAAGACAACAAGAAGATAGGGAAGGGAGGAGGGAGGAAGGGGAGGAAATGGTAAGAAATTGAATCATATGTACTGTAAAAGTCTAAAAAGAAAAAAACCAATAAAAATATATGTTAAAAAAACAAACACTGCAGAGGAGCCTGAAGTACAATCTTAAATTGTACAGATGAGTGAAGCCCCTGGCCGATTTCAGCTGCCCAGAGCATGCACATATAGAAAACTATATGAGTGCATGCACAATTATCACTGCACTGAGCTGCCTGTAGTCTAAATA